CCAACTGCAGGCTTCGAGCCAGGATAAACGCCTCCATGGATTCACGGCGATGCGTGACGTCTGGCCCACGTCCAGTGTACTGCCGCGGTTCACAGTACCACATCGGAGAGTGCGCATTGGAATCTACCCCTATTACGACCTTCTTCCCCTTCAGGGAATCCAGGACCCTGCCCAACTGCTCCAAATGCATATTTATGTCGTCGCTGTACTGAAAGTACGCGGACACCACGTAAAATCCCTCTTCGTCGGTTAGTAAATGACACACGATACAGTGCGTAGTCGACAGATGTTGCAAGAGGGCACATGGGAGGTCCCGACGACGGACATAAACGCCTGCCTTCGGTCGTGCGCCGCACTGCAGAAAACTGCTCGCGGCGTTCAAGTCGGGTCCAGGGTAATGCTCCTGAACCAGAACGACGTCTAGACCCAACTCCTCAGCGACTCTTGGTAGTTCCAATGTGGCAAGCTCTGCCCCCGCCAAGTTTATTTGGCCGACTGTATACTTTGTTGGAGCCATTAATAAGCCGTAATTTCCACCATCCTCCTCTCGGCGTGTACTCTTGCGGGGCAGTCCCTTGCTCCCGTCAGGTGTGTGTCAGCACCCTTTTGACCAAACCTGTGGCATGTGGCACACCTGGGTTTTTCCCGCTCGCATGCTTCAGCTACGTGTCCCGTAACACCACACTTGGTGCAGGTTTGGCCCTCCTGCTTGCACCTCTTCTCACTGTGCCCGTATGTGCAGCACTTTCCGCAGCACATTGCTGTAGTAAAATCCTCCACCCTACAGATCTCCCATCCTATATACAGTCGGCCCTTTGATACTAATGCCTTCCTCATTTCTGGGGTACAAGATATCACCATTGCTGAATGCGGTGAACCCCTCCGACTCTTCCGAAAGGCCAACCTCCCCTGCCTCTTGAAGGCTTCAAGAGTCCACTTCGCATCCGTGTCGAAGTTTTGTTTATGGACCATTGTAATGACCTCTTCGTATGATGGATCCTTCCCTTCAAGATCTCTGATCACCACAAGTGGCTCCCTGCCTTTGAGGTCGCTAGCCTTTACCGAGCTCGGCAATGCCGCCTTTATCTTGAGGATATCCTCTTTGGTTCTTGCCTGTACAACCACGCCCGCATTCCCCACCTTTCGGACTCGGTTTACATTTATGTTCAGCTGTGCGGGGGCTATGGAGGTCTTTAATGTCGCCTTCGTTTCCTCCGAATTCTTGATTGTGGAACCCTCCGCTCCAAAAACTAATTAAATCTACACTAATTACTAAGAAAGTCACTGTCTTTACTTATAACTAAACAATATAAATAGGGTACTTCCTGATTTGCCCGTATCCCGCCTCCAGGCAGGCGAAAACAGGCACCTCTCGGGACTCGCACCAACGTCTTGCAATCCAATCACTAAAACACTAAATAACAGCACAAAACACAAAGTAATCGTCCTATCGTTAAATCTTATTGTACACACTATATAACTGCACGATAAAAATAACCTTTCAGGCACTGAAAGCGACTCTGAAACTGGTTATAAAATTCAGTACGCGGAGCACTTCGTAAACGGTGCGCACACGACGGCGGTCCGCGACGAAGTAGCCGAAGGGAAGTCGAAGGGACAAACCCTCCACCAACCCATGGTCCTTCCTACCAATCATGGTATACGGACCGAATCTTGGGAGAGCGCGGGGGTACTTGCCAGTGGCTCTTTCCCCGCCTGCGCTTGTCTTGACTCCCTACAAATTCTGTTTCCGTCCCTTCTTTTTTCCTACTCTCCCCCTTCTGGGGCTAGACGTCACAGCACAGCACTTCGCGTCAGGCATCTTCATGGTCTTCGGTCCTACTCGTATGTGACACGGATGGAGTGCCAAGAATGGGCAAACTCGCAGAATGCATCCCAGTTACTTCTGCAGCTGACGAGGTTCCCATAAAAGATCGGTCCGGGTTCTGTGATCGCTATCTTCCCCAGCATTTTGTTCCGAGCGACCTCATAAAGTGAGCAATCCCATAGTGCATGATCTCGGCTCTCTTCTTCTCCATCGCCACAGGGGCAGAGTGCAGACTCGCACAGCGATAGGCGGTTCAATCGCTGTCTGAAACACCCATGCCCCGTTAACAGTTGTGAGACCTCGTAAGATGGTTCAATCCAGTGGTTGGAGAGCCTCATGCTCACATCCGGGATGAATCTAAAAAGCTCACGCCCATCGGTGCTCTGTGTCCATCGCTCCTGCCAAACGGATACGACCTCCTCTCTAATGGCGCGCTGCAGTTGTCGGCGTTCCCTCGGGGCCAGTTGGACTCCCTCCTCCGCAAGTCGTCCCGCACGATCAACCTCCAGGTCAGCAGGGAGTACACCTGCAAGCACAGGTAACGCTACGGTGCTGCATGTCCTGTAGGCTTTCGTGAGTAAAATTAGCGCCGGCCTCTGCGTGCTGAGCAAAGCTCTTTTCACCACAAAAAACGATGAGCGTCGGTACCATACCGCGGCAGCGTAGCACAGGACGTTTACATACGTTCCTTGGTATAAAATTTTGAGCGCTCTGTATCGAACTCCCCATTTCGACGCGGAAACTCTCGAAACCTTGCCGAAACAGTTCGAGGCGCTTTCGCCGATAATTCTCGCATGCGGCAAGTAGGACCTAGCCTCATCTAGGGTCACACCCAAAACTCTAGCCTGTGTGACACTCGTGATTGACGCTCCCTCAAGTTTTAAAATCGGTGACCGTTTGAACCTACCTTTATAAGTCATTGTTAGGCTTTTACCCGGGGAGAAACTGAGGCGATTACGCCTACCCCAATCAGCAATTAAACCCAACATGAGCGAGGACTTTCTTTCGATATCGGCACGGGAGGAAGCCTCAACCACAATGGTCACGTCATCGGCATACGCCATAGCGTGAACACCTTCTGGTCGCGGCAGCAGCAGGAGGTCATTGAGTAGGAGGTTCCATAGTGTCGGGCCCAAGACTGATCCCTGTGGACACCCCATAGTGCAGTGCTTCCATGTTGTTTGGTTGCCCACAAAGAGACCTACCCTGCGGTTTGTGAAGTAGTCCACCAAGATTCTGTATAAGTTCGGGTTTATCCCTGCTTGTTTCGCCTTGACTAGAATCATTGGCCACCACGCGTTGTCAAATGCACCGGAAATGTCCAGAAAGATCAGCTGTACATACTGAGCAGCACTGTTATCAGTGATATTGTTAATTAGTTGCAATGCCGTGACCGTGGAACGACCACGGGTGAAACCGTGCTGAGCATCAGAAATATGACGGTACAGAGAGGGAGCGCAGACAATTATAATACGTTCTAAGATCTTACCCAAGATAGGCAGCAAGGTGATCGGCCTATAGGCTTTCGGATCTGAAAGAGGTTTGCCGTTTCCCTTTGGCAGAACGAGCAATTTGCCGGTTTTCCAGATATCGGGGAAAATGCCCTGCGCAATACACAATCTGTACATGAAAAACATTTCGTCGGATGCAGCCTTCCAAGCCCATTTTATTATTCGGGCAGTAATCGCATCAGTTCCTGCAGCGGTATTGGGAAGAGCCCGAATGATATTCTCTACCTGGGACTTGACAAGATTTACGGAATCCTCACCGGACGGTGCAAATGAAGCCGCAATACGGACCTTTCGGTGATAGGTGCTGTCCGTCGCCGGGTCGTCATCGGGGAAGAGTGACCCAAGCAGTGCCGCCATAGAGTCTCTCGAGCCAGTCGTGAACCCGTCCAGTAGTTTCATTCCGCTAATGACGTTTGGCGGCGGGCGGAGGCGCCCACTCGCCACGCGGTAGGCAGCACCCCAGGGGTCGTCGTTTCCGGATTCTGCTATGGTTCGGTAGAAGTCCAATTCTGCCTTCTTCATGGCCTCCTTGTAGGTTGATCGAACAAAGCGTAGTGCATCATGAAGTAGCTCTTCTTGTCTTCCACCAAATCGACGGGATCCTTGCCACCTGCGACGGGCTCTGCTCACTTTGAGACGAATTGCATCTAACTCTGGCGACCACCACTCGTATCTTCCGTCATCCCTACGAGCACGCTGTCCTATTTCCTCCCTCGCGGTGCGCACCAATAGTTCCGTAAATTTCTCACAGTATAGTGGGGCTGGAAGGCTGGTGTTAATGTGCGCCACCCGGGCATTTAGCTTGGCACAGAACCCATCCCAATTCACCCCTCTCACTCTAAACGGCACAGGTAATCCGCTCTCACGGCCGTAATCCACATCCCCCAAACTGTTTCCCCATTGCAGTGTGAACGTGATAAGTTGATGATCACTGAGACTGGCACCTACGTGTACTGTCCAGTTGTTAATGTTGAACCCGCGAGACGATAAAGTGAGGTCCACATTCGATTCGCCGTTCGGACCACTGAAAGTGTTCGGTTGGTCGGGAACATTGTGTATGCGGAGATTCCGGCTTAAGATGAAGCCCTCCATGTGGTTTCTTCGGTACTCAGTGTCGCGGCCGCGTCCTGTATACTGCCTCTCTTCACAGAACCACAGCGGGGAGTGCGCGTTACTGTCCACACAGATGAGTACCGGTTTGCCGGCCAAATGGTCTAGGATACCTTCCAGGTGGAGAATATGACGGCTTATATCATGGCTGTACTGAAAATAAGCCGAAATCATGTGGACACTCATATCGCCCAGCCCAACGTGTATTACCAAACAGTGATCATTACTTAGATGGTGTAGCACAGTGCACACAAGGTTTTTATTAAAAATGAGGACCCCAGTCTTGGAATTGGCACTATACTGCAGTACTCCTGTCACCTCTTGGTATTGTTCTTGCACCAGGATTACATCCAGTCGGTGATCACGTGCTATTGAGATGATTTCCTTGGACGCTGCTTCGGATCCCTGTAAGTTTAGCTGTCCTACGCGAAAAGTGCTGTTAACTTTATTATCCATAGTGCAACATGTTCACCGCTTGCTGTTCTGCGAACTGACGTGCAGGGCACGAGACGGAGGCTGTGGAATGGGTGTCCGCATCCTTACGCTTAAACCGTCTACAGGTAGCGCAGCATTGGGTCTTCGCCTGACACTCCGTAGCTTTGTGGCCGACATCACCACACTTACCGCACACCATCTCCTTCGCTCTGCAGTACTTCTCAGGGTGACCGTATTGCTGGCATCGCAGACAACAAGTTGCCCTTGCGTGGTCACTTACCTCCGCCTCGTCCCAGCCGATGTAGACTTTGCCTAACCGGATGAGCTTATCCCGCATTGGCATGGTGCACTCCAAGATATATAGGAACTTCGTGCCTACCTCCTTTTTCAGGGCCACCTTGCACGATTGCTTTACCTTATCCAGGGACCACTCCGGATCGTCGGACAGATTCACCTTCTGTAAATCTACTAGGAAATCCTCTTCTGAAATGTCAGACCTTAGGAATCTAAGCGCGATCCTCGGCAGTCGGGTTTTGGGGTCCGCTGCTTTAAGTGATGGGGGTGCCGCTGCCTTGAGTTGTTGCGCAGCCTCCAAATTAGCAGTCCGAACCACGACGCCCGACTTGCCAACCATCCGTACACTTTGTATGCGAATGCCTTCGGATCCTGGCTTTATAGCGTTCTGCAAAGTACGTTTGGTGTCCTCTGATGACTTTAGGGACTCATCAGCCGGGTAGAAAATGACCGCCGGACCTTGGGGTTGGACAGGGATGGGGGCCTTACCTCGTGGAAGTTTCAACATATTCGCGTACGAAGGAACCTGCGCCAACGAGGGCTGCGGTGCGCTAACACACGCCGACTGTTTAAGGAACTCGATTTCCTTTGCGGCAACTTGTAGCTTGACAGCATTCGCCTGGTGCTCTGCATCTGCGGGGCGCAGCTCCAAGTCGAAGGGACAAATCCCACCAACCACCCATGGCCTGGCGAACCTTCTTGGTTATGCAGGCCGAAGCAGCGGGAGATACGCGCGGAATGGCCTCCACCGCGCGTACTTTCTTGACTCCCTACAAATTATTCTTTGTCTATCTCCTTGTCCCTATGGTCCCTCTCCCCTTTCTGTCGCAATCCCAGTCGTCCCGTGCCCACTCTGAAGTGGTACCGCTGGCTCCAAATTGTACGGTCCTCTCTTCTTTCTTCGCCTCGGGTCTTCTTTCTTCACCTCTCGAGTCCACTCCGAATCCTGTGCCATCTACGCGCGAAATCCCGCAGCTGCCTGAAGTTCGCCTCCGATCCCACAAGGTCGCAATAATAGACCGGCCCAACCTCGAGCACCTTCACACTGTCCAGAAGTTCCCTATGCGCCTCCCCGTAGAGCTTACACTCCCACAGAGCGTGGTATGCGTCCTCTACTTCTCCCTCCCCACAGTAGCACGACCCCACCTCCGCGAGCTTCATTCGGTGAAGCCTACCCCTGAAACAACCATGTCCTGTCAGCAATTGCGAGGTTTCATAGTCAGGCTCGACCCAAGTGGCCTTGAGTCGGGCCTCCACTCCCGGGAAAAACCGATACAACTCCCTCCCCTGGTCCGATGCATCCCAACGCCCCTGCCATTCGGCAAGGACGGACTCAGAGACCCCGAGTTTGGCGCTCTGCAGCTCCTCCCTGGTAGCCGCGGACTCGCGTGCCCCACCTAGTCTGCCTGCCCGAATTACCTCGAGGTCGGCCGGTAAAACACCGGCCAACACCGGCAAAGCGACAGAGCTCGTCGACCGGTACGCCTTGGTCAGAAGGATCAAGGCGGGTCTCTGGGTGCGCAAAAGCGCACTACGCACAACGTGAAGAGACGCATGCTCGTACCAACATGCCGCAGCATACGTCACCGTGGCGATGTAAGTGCCGCGGTACAAAACCTTTAGGGCCTTGTACCGAACTCCCCAAGAAGCCGCCGATACTCTCGACATCTTGCCGAAGCAATTTGCCGCCCTCTCCCCTATCGACGCCGCATGCTGCGCGAACGAGAGACTCGAATCGACCTTCACACCCAACATAGTAGCCGACGTCACGCTCCTGATAGACGTCCCCCCGAACCGGATGATGGGTGGCCGCTGGAATTTCCACCTGATCGTCATGGTAACAGACTTTGCAGGAGAGAAGTCCAGCCTATTACGGGCCCCCCATTCACCGACGAGCTGCAAAACCGTAGAGGCCGTGGCCTCTATGCTCGCCCGGGCTCCGGATTCGATCAGGATCGTGACGTCGTCGGCGTACGCCACTATGCTCACCCCCCCGGGTAGTGGCAGTCGAAGCAAGTCGTCCATAAGCACGTTCCAGAGCGTTGGTCCCAACACCGATCCCTGCGGGCAACCCATCGTTGCCGCCTTCCACACTACCCGATCACCCACGAACAAGCCCACACGGCGATTGACGAAGTAATCCGCCAACATCCTGAAGATGTTAGGCGGACATCCTCCGCGTTTCACCTTGAGCAGGATCATGGGCCACCAAGCATTATCAAAGGCCCCAGAGATATCCAAAAATACCGCTTGCACATATTTCGACGAGCTCTCTCTAGCCACTCTGAAGATTTCCTTCAGAGCAGACACCGTCGACCGACCCCGAGTGAACCCGTGCTGGCAGTCCGATAAGCCTCTGGTTATTTGCGGAGCACACCTTAACATTACTCGTTCTAAAATCTTACCAAAGATCGGTAGCAGAGTGACGGGGCGATACGCTTTCGGATCGGAAAGCGGCTTGTCATTCCCTTTCGGGAGGACAATCAGCCTGCCGTCCTTCCACGTATCAGGAAATCGTCCCTCCTGGACACATCGCCTAAACACTTCAGAGAATTCCACCGGCGCGGCTGCCCAAACGTGTTCAACAATACGAGCCGAGATCCCATCGATACCCGGTGCGGTGTTAGGCAAGTCCTTGACTATACCCGCAATTAGACTGTCAGTTGGAGGCGGGGCATCTTCTCCTGAGGGTATGAGTGAGGCTACTAACCGCAATTGCCTGTGGTACTCTGTGTCCTTAGACACATCGTCGTCCGGACAAAGAGCATACACGAGGCTGTGCATAGCCTCGTCCACACTCCCAGCATAACCTTCGGCGAACATCGTGCCATTTATTACGTTACGGGGAGGCCTAGACCTCCCACTCGCGGCTCGGTAGGCCTGTCCCCAAGGGTTCAGGTTTCCGGAATCTGCGATCTTCCTAAAATGCAAAAGTTGCGCCTCCTCCATGGCCGCCCTATACCTACTCCTATGCACATGGAAGCGGCCCCTGGCTTCCGCCTCAACCAGGCCGCCGGCCCGGCGAGTCGACTGCCAGGCTCGCCTCAACTTGTTGTTGAGTTGACGCAACCGATCGAGCTCGGGCGTCCACCAATCGTGTCCTGTGTCCGAATTCCTAGCCTGAGCCAACCCCAGCGTCTGCTTCGCGGTGCTCAAAACAAGAGCTGCGAACTGAGCACAGACAGCCGGGGCGGGTCGCTTCCATTTTATGTTGCCCACCCTCCCATGGATCCGGCGCTCGAAGAGAGGCCAGTCCACACCGCGATCCCTGAGTCTCGGAAGCTCTTCTAGCAGCCCAGCGCGTGGAGTGCTCGTGCTTGCCACTTCAAACGTAATGAGACGGTGGTCGCTCTCAATTTTGTCTTCCCACACTCTCCATCCCGTCACCGGGATGCCTCTTGTTGTTAATGTGAGGTCAATGTTGGACGCTCCGTTCGCAGTGGCAAAGGTCGAAGGCTCTCCTTCCCTATTCTCCAACTGCAGGCCCCGGGCCAGGATAAACGCCTCCATGGACTCACGGCGGTGCGTGACGTCTGGCCCACGTCCCGTATACTGCCGCGGTTCGCAGTACCACATTGGAGAGTGCGCATTGGAGTCAACCCCAATCACGACCCTCTTCCCCTTCAAGGAATCCAGGACTCTGCCTAACTGCTCCAGGTGCACATTAATGTCGTCGCTGTACTGAAAATACGCGGACACCACGTAAATTCCCTCTTCGTCGATGAGTAGGTGACACACTGTACAGTGTGTAGTCGACAGATGGTGCGAGAGGGCACATGGGAGGTCCCTACGACGGACATAAACGCACGCTTTGGGTCGTTCACCGCACTGCAGTAAACTGCTCGCGGCACTCCAGTTTGGGCTAGGATAATGTTCCTGAGCCAGAACGACGTCTAGGCCCAGTTCCTCTGCTACCTGGGCTAACTCCATTGTGGCAAGCTCTGCCCCCGCTAAGTTTATTTGGCCGACTGTACATGATATTGTTGGAGCCATTAGTAGGCCGTAATCTCCGCCATTCTGCGTTCGGCATGGATCCTAGCCGGACAATCCCGGTCTCCGGTAGTATGTGTGTTAGCCCCCTTTTGGCCGAACTTGTGGCACGTAGCGCACCGTTCAGATTCGGCCTTGCAGTCCTCGACCTTGTGTCCTGCACCGCACCTCGTGCAGGTGTATGCCTCCTGCCTGCACCGCTTCTCATTATGCCCGTATGTCGAGCATTTATGACATATGACGGCCGTCGTAAAATCTTCCACCCTGCATACATCCCATCCGATGTACAGTCGGCCTTTTTCGATAAGCGCTTTCCGCAGCTTCGCGCTGCACGCCAACACCATGGACGAACGTGACCCCCCAACCCTGCTCTTACGGAAAGCCAGCTTGCACTCCCTTTTCATTTTATCTGCGGTCCATTCCCCGCTGTCGGCAAAGTTTTGTATAAATACCCGATCCAGGGTTGCCCCCACATCTGGGTCTTTGCCCTCCAAATCTCTTATTACTACAAGGGGCGCACGCCCCTTCAAGTCGTTAGCCTTTAAAGAGCTCGGAAGAGCTGCCTTCAATCTCGTTAGGTCATCTTTGGTGCGAGTTTGGATGACCACACCCGCATTCCCAACTCTGCGTACCCTGTCCACCTGTATATTAAGTTTCGCGGGAGCGATAGAGGTCTTTAAAATGGATTTCGTTTCCTCCGAGGATTTTAAATCACTTCCCTCAGCGGGATAGACCGCCAGTACAGGGCCAGCTGGAGGTGCCCTCCGCACCCTGTCGGCGTACGTGGCTGCAACCAATGCGTTACCGCCCGAAAAAGCCTCCGCCGCTCGCGTACGGGCCGCCTCTGCCTCAGCTTCAGCTCTCGCGGCGCGCTCCTGTTCCCTTGAGTAGGCGACGTCTAAGGTTGCTGCCCTTACTTTTGCGGAGTTTATGCGTCCCTTGTCTTCTTCCGCAATTAGCCCCAAGTGGCCGACAATCTCCATAATCAACGAAAGTTGGCTGTTGATCGTTGCCATGTCGGTCCGGTTAATTTTGTTATTCGCCCCAGCTACCCCAGATATGGTTCTAGCCGCCGCGTTGGCTTTCGCCAGCAGCTGCCGTGAAGTCGACCGCGCCAGGTCCACGCCGTCGTCTTCGTAATCCCCTTCACTCGTGTAAAGAGACACAAACTCCGTGGCCGGAGTTTCTGCCTCCAACAGTAGCCCAGCCATACCCTGCTGTGCCGAGCCCAGCTTCCTAATGGTCCTTTTCTTAGGACGGCCTTCCGCTGTTGCCTGGCCACCCTAAAGATCTCCTTCAGGGCGGACACCGTCGACCGACCCCGAGTGAACCCGTGCTGGCAGTCCGATAGACCTCTGGTTATTTGCGGTGCACACCGTAACATTACGCGTTCTAAGATTTTACCAAAGATCGGCAACAAAGTGACGGGGCGATACGCTTTTGGGTCGGAAAGCTGCCTGTCGTTCCCTTTCGGGAGGACAATCAACCTGCCGTCCTTCCACGTATCAGGAAATCGTCCCTCTTGAACACATCGCCTATACACTTCTGTAAATTCAACCGGCGCGGCTGCCCAAACGTGTCTGATGATACGAGCGGAGATCCCATCGATACCCGGTGCAGTGTTCGGCAAGTCCTTGACTATCTCTGCAACTACGCTGTCGGTTGGAGGCCGCGCATCTTCTCCTGAGGGTATGAGCGAGGCTACTAACCGCACTTGCCTGTGGTACTCGCTGTCCTTAGACACATCGTCGTCCGGACAGAGAGCATACATGAGGCTGTGCATAGCCTCGCTCACGCTCCCAGCATATCCTTCGGCGAACTTCGTGCCATTAATTACGTTACGGGGAGGCCTAGACCCACTCGCGGCTCGGTAGGCCTGTCCCCAAGGGTTCAGGTTTCCGGAATCTGCGATCTTTCTAAAATGCAAAAGTTGCGCCTCCTCCATGGCCGCCCTATACCTACGCCTATGCACGTGGAAGCGCCCCCTGGCCTCCTCCTCAACCAGGCCACCGGCGCGGCGAGTCGATTGCCAGACTCGTCTCAACTTATTGTTGAGATGACGCAGCCGATCAAGCTCGGGCGTCCACCAATCATGTCCTGTGTCTGAGTTCCTATTTTTCGCCAACCCCAGCGTCTGCTTCGCGGTGCTCAAAACAAGAGCTGCGAACTGAGCACAGATCGCCGAGGCGGGCCGCTTCCACTTCAATTTACCCACCCTCCCATGGATCCGGCGCTCGAAGAGAGGCCAGTCCACACCGCGGTCCCTGAGTCTCGGAAGCTCTTCCGGCAGCTCAGCGCGTGGAGTGCTCGCACTTGCCAACTCGAACGTTATGAGACGGTGGTCGCTCTCAATCTTGTCTTCCCACACTCTCCATCCCGTCACCGGGATGCCTCTTGTCGCTAATGTGAGGTCAATGTTGGACGCTCCATTCGCAGTGGCAAAGGTCGAAGGCTCTCCTTCCCTGTTCGCCAACTGCAGGCCCCGGGCCAGGATAAACGCCTCCATGGACTCACGGCGGTGCGTGACGTCTGGCCCACGTCCCGTATACTGCCGCGGTTCGCAGTACCACATTGGAGAGTGCGCATTGGAGTCAACCCCAATAACGACCCTCTTCCCCTTCAAGGAATCCAGGACTCTGCCTAACTGCTCCAGGTGCACATTAATGTCGTCGCTGTATTGAAAATACGCGGACACCACGTAGATTCCCTCTTCGTCGGTGAGCAAATGACACACTGTGCAGTGTGTAGTCGACAGGTGGTGTAAGAGGGCACATGGGAGGTCCCGACGACGGACATAAATGCACGCTTTGGGTCGTTCGCCGCACTGCAGTACACTGCTCGCGGCACTCCAATTTGGGCTAGGATAATGTTCCTGAGCCAGAACGACGTCTAGGCCCAATTCCTCTGCTACCTGGGGTAGCTCCATTGTGGCAAGCTCTGCCCCCGCCAAGTTTATTTGGCCGACTGTATAATTTGTTTGTGGAGCCATTAGTAAGCCGTGGACTCCGCCATACGCCTCTCTGCGTGGACTCTGGCTGGGCAATCTCTCGCCCCCGTGACGTGAGTAGCTGCACCCTTCTGCCCGAAGCGGTGACAGGTCGCACACCGCTCGTTCTCTGATTTGCAGTCCACTGCCTTGTGGCCTGCAACACCACACCTTGTGCACGTCGCCGCGTCCTGGTGGCACCTCTTTTCATTGTGCCCATAAGTGCAACACTTATGGCACAACACCGCCGTGGTGAAATCCTCCACCCTGCATACTTCCCACCCAACATACAGTCGGCCTTTATTAACAAGCGCCTTCCGCAGTTTCGCACTACAAGCCAGCACCATTGAGGACCTCGTACCTCCCGTGCGGCTCTTCCGGAACGCCAATTTTCTCGCACGTCCACTCTTTATCGTCCTCAAAGTTTTGCCTGTGGACCATCTTTATCGTCTCCTCAACCTCCGGATCTTTCCCGTCTAGGTCTCTAATAACGACCAGTGGTGCGCGTCCTTTTAGATCATTGGCTTTCAATGTTTTTGGTAGCGCCGCTTTCAGACGTGACAGGTCTTGTTCAGTTCTGGTCTGCACCACCACACCCGCCTTGCCTACCCTACGAACCCTGTCAATCTGGATGTTTAGTCGGGCGGGGGCGATAGAGGTCTTTAGCAATGCCTTCGTCTCCTCCGAGGACTTCATCTCCGATCCATCTGCAGGATACACAGCCATCACTGGCCCGGCTGGTGGAGCCCTGCGGACCTGGTCTGCGTATGATGTTCCAGTCCCTTCCTTCGACTGGCTGATCGTTGCGGCCTCCGCTGCCCTTCTGTGGGCGGCTTCCGCCTCCGCTTCCGCCTTGGCCACTCGCTCCTGCTCTCTGGTATAGGCAGCGTCTAGGGTCGCAGCCCGGATCCTGGCCGTATTGATGCGGCCCCTATCCTCCTCCGCAATTAGTCCAAGATGTCCCACTATTTCCATAATTGCAGAGAGCTGACTGTTGATAGTCGCTATATCCGTCTTATTCATCTTATTTGATGCTCCGGCGACCCCTGATATAACGCGTGCCGCAGCATTCGCCCTCGCCAGCAACTGTCTGGACGTGGTCCGCGAGAGGTCCGCTCGCTCGTCCTCAATGTCGATATCGCCCTCCGACGCGTACGGAGTGACGAATTCCGGACCCGGGGTTCCGACCTCCTGCGCATCACCACCAGCCTGTTGCGCCGGTCCGACTTTCTTCAACGTCCTCCGCTTCGGACGCCCCTCCGCCATACCGTCGTCCGGAGACAGCAACCGCTTCGCCTCTCTGGTAACGTTACGTCCTTCGCTCGACGCCACCGGTGCAGCCTGCATCTGTGCCTCCGGTTGTTGCACCGGCGACGCTCCGGGCGACAGTGAAGCCACCACCGCCCGGTACACCGCCGACGCCACCAGCTCGGCATCCACCGCTCCCTGACTGCGCGCAGGTGCCGCGAAACGCCCCGGCGGAGTCCGCATCAGCGATTTCCTCGGGGCAAACGGCTCCTTGGGGGGAGGACCTCCCTCCTCCGACGAGCTCATTTTAGCCCTGAATTGTCGCCGAACAGTTAGTAAATAATCCCACAATTAGTGGGAAGATTCAAAAACTGGCAACCCTGATGTGTGTTCTTAGTGAAACGGAACGTACTCCGACGATGACAGCCGTCAAGCCGACAGCTGTCAGTCACCCGTCACTCAATGTCAGTCTGACAGACGTCGCCTGTCACACTGCAAATTATAATCAAATTACCTACAACTAAATAACAAAAGTTCACGTCCTACCCTCAAATATAAAAATAAAAATTAAAAACGGAGGTAGTTGACCGCGTGGTCCCCAACCTCTTAACCTAACCTCAAATGTGAGCACGTGCTTAACCTAAACTAACCTACCAATAGTGTCCAAAATACTAATTAAAACTACGCTAATTGCTAAAAAGTCACTGTCGTTGCTTATATCTAGTAAATATAAGTGGGGTACTTCCCTGATTGCGCCCGTTTCGCGCCTCCAGGCACAGAAAACAGGCACCTTCCTGGATATGAACCAACGTCTTGCACACTTATATCACTTAAACACTAGAAAACAGCACAAAAACACAAAAATTGTCGTCCTATCGTATATATAACAGTTTCACAATGTAGTATAGCTGAAGAACTGAAGCCTTCAGGCGCTTTTCAGCTGCACTGGAAAGGGTATAATATCACTTAGACGCGGAGCACTTCGCAAACGATGCGCACACGACGGCGGTCCGCGACGAAGAAGTCGAAGGGACAAATCCCACCAACCACCCATGGCCTGGCGAACCTTCTTGGTTATGCAGGCCGAAGCAGCGGGAGATACGCGCGGAATGGCCTCCACCGCGCGTACTTTCTTGACTCCCTACAAATTATTCTTTATCTATCTCCTTGTCCCTATGGTCCCTCTCCCCTTTCTGGGGCGGACGTACACGAAACGCCTTCGTCGCAATCCCAGTCGTCCCGTGCCCACTCTGAAGTGGTACCGCTGGCTCCAAATTGTACGGTCCTCTCTCTTCTTTCTTCGCCTCGGGTCTTCTTTCTTCACCTCTCGAGTCCACTCCGAATCCTGTGCCATCTACGCGCGAAATCCCGCAGCTGCCTGAAGTTCGCCTCCGATCCCACAAGGTCGCAATAGTAGACCGGCCCAACCTCGAGCACCTTCACACTGTCCAGAAGTTCCCTACGCGCCTCCCCGTAGAGCTTACACTCCCACAGAGCGTGGTATGCGTCCTCTACTTCTCCCTCCCCACAGTAGCACGACCCCACCTCCGCGAGCTTCATTCGGTGAAGCCTACCCCTGAAACAGCCATGTCCTGTCAGCAATTGCGAGGTTTCATAGTCAGGCTCGACCCAAGTGGCCTTGAGTCGGGCCTCCACTCCCGGGAAAAACCGATACAACTCCCTCCCCTGGTCCGATGCATCCCAACGCCCCTGCCATTCGGCAAGGACGGACTCAGTGACCCCGAGTTTGGCGCTCTGCAGCTCCTCCCTGGTAGCCGCGGACTCGCGTGCCCCACCTAGTCTGCCCGCCCGAGTTATCTCGAGGTCGGCCGGTAAAACACCAGCCAACACCGGCAAAGCGACAGAGCTCGTCGACCGGTACGCCTTGGTCAGAAGGATCAAGGCGGGTCTCTGGGTGCGCAAAAGCGCACTACGCACAACGTGAAGGGACGCACGCTCATACCAACATGCCGCAGCATACGTCACCGTGGCGATGTAAGTGCCGCGGTACAAAACCTTTAGGGCCTTGTACCGAACTCCCCAAGAAGCCGCCGATACTCTCGACATCTTGCCGAAGCAATTTGCCGCCCTCTCCCCTATCGACGCCGCATGCTGCGCGAACGAGAGACTCGAATCGACCTTCACACCCAACACAGTAGCCGACGTCACGCTCCTGATAGACGTCCCCCCAAACCGGATGATGGGTGGCCGCTGGAATTTCCCCCTGATCGTCATGGTAACAGACTTTGCAGGGGAGAAGTCCAGCCTATTACGGGCCCCCCATTCACCGACGAGCTGCAAAACCGTAGAGGCCGTGGCCTCTATGCTCGCCCGGGCTCCGGATTCTATCAGGATCGTGACGTCGTCGGCGTACGCCACCATGCTTACCCCCCCGGGTAGTGGCAGTCGAAGCAAGTCGTCCATAAGCACGTTCCAGAGCGTTGGTCCCAACACCGATCCCTGCGGGCAACCCATCGTTGCCGCCTTCCACACTACCCGATCACCCACGAACAAGCCCACACGGCGATTGACGAAGTAATCCGCCAACATCCTAAAGATGTTAGGCGGACATCCCCCGCGTTTCACCTTGAGCAGGATCATGGGCCACCAAGCATTATCAAAGGCCCCAGAAATATCCAAAAATACCGCTTGCACATATTTCGACGAGCTCTCTCTAGCCACTCTGAAGATTTCCTTCAGAGCAGACACCGTCGACCGACCCCGAGTGAACCCGTGCTGGCAGTCCGATAGACCTCTGGTTATTTGCGGAGCACACCTTAACATTACACGTTCTAAAATCTTACCAAAAATCGGTAGCAGAGTGACGGGGCGATACGCTTTCGGATCGGAAAGCGGCTTGTCATTCCCTTTCGGGAGGACAATCAGCCTGCCGTCCTTCCACGTATCAGGAAATCGTCCCTCCTGGACACATCGCCTAAACACTTCAGAGAATTCCACCGGCGCGGCTGCCCAAACGTGTTCAACAATACGAGCCGAGATCCCATCGATGCCCGGTGCGGTGTTAGGCAAGTCCTTGACTATACCCGCAATTAGACTGTCAGTTGGAGGCGGGGCATCTTCTCCTGAGGGTATGAGCGAGGCTACTAACCGCACTTGCCTGTGATACTCCGTGTCCTTAGACACATCGTCGTCCGGACAAAGAGCATACACGAGGCTGTGCATAGCCTCGTCCACACTCCCAGCATAACCTTCGGCGAACTTCGTGCCATTTATTACGTTACGGGGAGGCCTAGACCTCCCACTCGCGGCTCGGTAGGCCTGTCCCCAAGGGTTCAGGTTTCCGGAATCTGCGATCTTTCTAAAATACAAAAGTTGCGCCTCCTCCATGGCCGCCCTATACCTACTCCTATGCACATGGAAACGGCCCTTGGCTTCCGCCTCAACCAGGCCGCCGGCCCGGCGAGTCGACTGCCAGGCTCGCCTCAACTTGTTGTTGAGTTGACGCAACCGATCGAGCTCGGGCGTCCACCAATCATGTCCTGTGTCCGATTTCCTATCCTGAGCCAACCCCAGCGTCTGCTTCGCGGTGCTCAAAACAAGAGCTGCGAACTGAGCACAGACAGCCGGGGCGGGTCGCTTCCATTTTATGTTGCCCACCCTCCCATGGATCCGGCGCTCGAAGAGAGGCCAGTCCACACCGCGATCCCTGAGTCTCGGAAGCTCTTCTAGCAGCCCAGCGCGTGGAGTGCTCGTGCTTGCCACCTCAAACGTAATGAGACGGTGGTCGCTCTCAATTTTGTCTTCCCACACTCTCCATCCCGTCACCGGGATGCCTCTTGTTGTTAATGTGAGGTCAATGTTGGACGCTCCGTTCGCAGTGGCAAAGGTCGAAGGCTCTCCTTCCCTATTCTCCAACTGCAGGCCCCGGGCCAGGATAAACGCCTCCATGGACTCACGGCGGTGCGTGACGTCTGGCCCACGTCCCGTATACTGCCGCGGTTCGCAGTACCACATTGGAGAGTGCGCATTGGAGTCAACCCCAATTACGACCCTCTTCCCCTTCAGGGAATCCAGGACTCTGCCTAACTGCTCCAGATGCACATTAATGTCGTCGCTGTACTGAAAATACGCGGACACCACGTATATTCCCTCTTCGTCGATAAGTAAGTGACACACTGTACAGTGTGTAGTCGACAGATGGTGTAAGAGGGCACATGGGAGGTCCCTACGACGGACATAAACGCACGCTTTGGGTCGTTCACCGCACTGCAGTAAACTGCTCGCGGCACTCCAGTTTGGGCTAGGATAATGTTCCTGAGCCAGAACGACGTCTAGGCCCAATTCCTCTGCTACCTGGGCTAACTCCATTGTGGCAAGCTCTGCCCCCGCTAAATTTATCTGGCCGACTGTACATGATATTGTTGGAGCCATTAGTAGGCCGTAATTTCCGCCATTCTACGCTCGGCATGGACCCTAGCTGGACAATCACGCGCTCCGGTCGAGTGTGTGTTGGCTCCCTTCTGTCCAAACTTATGGCACGTGGCACATTTTTCTGTTTCGGCCTTACACTCCTCCGCCTTGTGTCCCGTAATACCACACCTTGTGCAAGTGAATGCTTCCTGCTTGCAGCGCCTCTCGTTGTGCCCATATGTTGAGCAATTATGGCAGATCACGGCCGTAGTAAAGTCCTCCACTCTGCAGACATCCCATCCGATGTACAGTCGACCTTTTTCTAAGAGTGCTTTGCGCAGTTTTGCACTGCACGCCAGCACCATCGACGAGCGCGATCCCCCAATTCTGCTCTTTCGGAACGCAAGTTTGCACTCACCCTTCATTCTTTCTGCGGTCCATTCTCCGCCTTCTATGAAATTTTGAGTGAATACCCTCTCCATTGTTTCCCCCACATCTGGGTCTTTCCCTTCTAAGTCTCTAATTACAACTAGAGGCGCCCGCCCCTTTAAGTCGTTCGCCTTAAGTGAACTCGGGAGAGCCGCCTTTAACTTCGTCAGATCCTCCTTGGTGCGGGTCTGCACCACCACACCCGCGTTCCCAACCCTCCGTACTCTGTCCACTTGTATATTTAGCTTAGCGGGAGCTATTGAGGTCTTCAATATAGTTTTTGTTTCCTCCGAGGACTTCAAGTCACTTCCGTCTACAGGATACACGGCAACGACAGGGCCAGCAGGTGGTCCCCTGCGCAACCTATCCGCGTATGTACCCGGGATCCCAGCTTGATTAGACGACGACACCACCTCCGCCGCACGTGCACGAGCCGCCTCTGCCTCTGCCTCCGCCTTAGCGGCGCGCTCCTGCTCCCTCAAGTACGCCGCGTCCAGTGTTGCCGCCCTGACT